CCGCACATGTTCCCTCGTTGGAGGCTTGAACACGGGGGTTCTCGACCCACATGCCATCGTCTAGTGTAGTTTTCTATGAATGTGTGACAGTGGGGGACTGTTAGGAAGGGTTGACTGTGTTTGATACGGACGGTCGGATGATGCATCCCGCCATTTAGGGCAGGGAGCCCTAAGGCTTCCGTTTTCTCATTGGGTTTTCATCATTGTTTTAGGGGTCCCGTGCGAAATGGAGGGAGAGGCAATGCAGTGTAGTATACTATCCACTTTTTTTGGGCGTAGAATACCATTCTTGTTTTTTTTTTTCTTGTTTTCCCTCCTCAGCGAGCCGCATGTCAGGCGGTACACCCAAGTCAAGAAATGTTGAAATGCAGACCACAAAAAAAAAAAAAAAAAAAAAAACAAAGGATGAATACCAACCCCCGGTACGATCCCGCTCGTGCACGACCCCGCTGTAAGTTATTCGCTCCTTCGATTCGATTATTTCATCTGAGCACAGCAGGCAATTTAAACTTGGAGTAGTGCGCCACCAACAGACCCTGCTTGCGAATACGAATTTGGGCTTCATTGCGCGGTTTCGTTGCAGCTTGATTAGGGCATCATCGGCAGAATTGTGGAGTTTATTCCCGCTCTTAGGCATCTAAGCAACCGGCAGCTATGGCGACCATCAAGGCGTGTCGTGGCTTCAACGCCAAGAGCGACATTGCAACGCTGCGTGACGCCATCGAAGGTGAATGTCTGCGACCCTTTATTATGTATTAATACGTCCTCCTTCTCATTCACTCATCTGGAAATGGAAATGGTTGCACGTGGTGCGGACTGCATCATGCAAAGATGTATACTTTATTACTTTCCTATATTTAGAGGCTAATACATCTTCGGATTATTTGATAATAACAATAATATTGGGCTTCTTTCATGTCACGCGGTTGGACTTCATGTTCCGTATCGTTACCATAATTCGCCGTAGGTGCATGATTGTGAGTTTGTAAACGGTTAATGCATTTTGCTTGTCCTGGCGTTGTCATGTTCCTCCAGACTTACGGTGCCTCTTCGTAAGTAAGGTTCTGTTCTCGTGATGTATATGCAGTCTCTGAATACCATCAATTTCGTCTCCTGATATATATTCTCCTGATGTATATGCAGTGTCTGAATACCATCAAGTTCGTCTGCTGATATATATTCTCCTGATGTATATGCAGTGTCTGAATACCATCTTTTTTTTTTTTTTTTTTTTTTTTTTGCTGGAAAACGGGTCCAGCGTCCAGTGTCTGAATACCATCAATTTCGTCTCCTGATATATATTCTCCTGATGTATATGCAGTGTCTGAGTACCGTCAATCCTCTCGTCTCTCCTTATATATATTTCTCCTGATGTACATGCAGTGTCTGGATACCATCAATTTCGTCTTGTAGAGGGGTGTTTGTCTGGTAGAGAGGCATGTCTCGCCGACCACTTAAGGCTTGACAGCCTGTTGGACGTGATCGAGGAGGTATCCATGACGCAATACACGGAGGTGGATGGAGATCCCGAGCCTCAAATTCAGGTGCCCGACCCTGCCATTTGCAGATTCCCGCTTTGGTAACCGTGCACTAACAAAGAGAGAGAATTCTTCTCCCCTTTTTCGGGTTTTGCTGTGCCCTTGTTTTTTTTTCTTCTCCCCCCATACCCCCCCGCCCCTCCTTCGTTTTCCTTTAGTTTGCATTTTGGCACTCCTGCGATCGTCGTTCTCGATTTTTTCTTGTCGCTTCGGCTTTCAACATCGCGCAGCAGCGCAGCGCATGTCGTCGAACATAGTAGATCTGTCTCGTTTGTAGTCTCCGTGTTTGTTTCATCCGTGCAGCAGTTCTTTTAAAGTCTACAAGTACTTCTATCGATAATGAGTATTTCGTCAAATTTCATTGGAAACTAATCGAATTCCATTGCTTTCATAGGTTCCATAGCCGTTCATTCGGATTTCATTCCGTTTTTCTGCATTTACTTCGTCGTATCACATCGCGCATTTGCCCGTATCTGGTTGGGTGCCGCATTTTATCAAATTTATACTGTCTAAGCTATCGACGGAATGTTACTAGCCGTATAGTTACCCTGATTACTTTACATATGGGTTCCATGCAATTGAAGATTGAGGATCTCCCTTCACTGCGTCTCTGTTTTCCTTCTCTCTGTTCGTTTACGTTGTTCTTGCTCCTCCTTGTGTGTGTGTGTGTGTGTGTGTGTGTGTGTGACACAACTCCAAAAAAGGCATGAATATGCCACGACTGTTTAGTCGGACCTGTACCGACTCGTATGTGTGTGTGCGTGGGTGTGTGTGCGTCGTCGTGCGTGTGTTGTAAGTTTCCACCAAAACAGCCCGCGTTCCACCCAGACGAGTAGATCCGAGTTTAGCCAAACCAACAATTAAAGAGTTCACCTCTCTAGCAAGCAACATGAATCATAGTTGAACCATTTCGAATTGTGTTTAGTTTGGGTTTCTTTGGGGCAACACCTCCTCTCTTACTACTCCTCTTTCACTATGCCGCGCAAGTACAAGGCTGCCCACGTTGATTGTGGTTGAGCGGCATGTGTGTGTGTGCGTGCGTGTGTGTGTGCGTGCGTGTGTGTGCGCGTGCGTGTGTGTGTGCGTGCGTGTGTACGTGTGTGCCTGTGGGTGCGTGCGTGTGTATGTGTGTGCCTGTCCGTGCGTGCGTGTGTATGTGTGTGTGTGCGCGCGCGCTCGTGTGCTTAGAGGACGTTCAGGATTTGGGCCTTTCATCTTGACTTTCGGTGATTTAAATTCATATTCGTGCCGTCCCTTGCAGGCTTGAACACGGATAAGCACGCGGATTCAATAGATAAGTTGATTATGTTGGCGACCGAGCGTTCGTGGGATCAGCGCGGCGAGATCTGGACTGGATACAAGAGGATTCATGACGAGGATCCGAAGGAGGCTTTGACGAAGAAGCTGCGCGGCAGTAACATTTGCCTGGGCTTGTTGGCGCTCTTCGGACCTGCAGCCGAGCGTGATGCGGAGTGGTTTTACAGCGCTATGAAGGGTCTGGGGACCGACGAAAAGCTGTTGATTGAGCTGACAGCGACGCGAACATCCCGGCAGCTGAAAGCCATCGCCTCTGCTTATGAGAGGTTGTACGGCAAGGATCTGGCTGGTGACGTCGCCGGAGAGGTGGGTGGGTGCCTGGGAAAGATGCTTATAAAGTTGTTGACCGTCCCAAGGAGCGACGCCGTGCTGCCGGAGGAGAGAGCGTCTGCCATGGCTCAGCAGCTCTACGATGCTGGAAAGGGCAAGTGGGGAACTGACGAAGGGGTGTTCGTCGATATTCTGACTTCGGAAAGTCGCGGCACTCTGAAATCGGTCTTCAGTATTTATCTTTCCAAATTTGGACAGGATATTATCTCGGTCATTGACGACGAATTTGGCGGGCAGGCCGAGGCCGGATTGAAATTCCTTGTCAGGGCTGTGCTGTCTACTCCCCAAGTGTTTGCCGATGCAATCAATGAAGCTGTCCGTGGTCTCGGTACTGACGAGCGTGCACTTATCCGGTATATCTGCGCACGTGCAGACATGGATCTTGAGGATATTAAGAAAGCGTTTGAACAGAAATACAAGACCCCGCTCACCGACAGAGTAAAAGCAGACGACGGCACTGAATTTGGAAAGCTTCTTGTTGCTGCCATTCACTAACAAACAGCAGCAATAATTTGTCATATCTCCGAGTCACCCCCTCCTCCCCCTCCTCCCCCTCCTCCCCCTCCCCCCCCTCCAACGCTATTACTCTCACCTTCGGTTGAATTTTCGTCATTCTTTTCACTCGAGAACGGTAACTCTTTTCAAAATAGGACCAATACCGTCTCGTCTCTCACGCTCTCTTTTTTTCCTAGTGCCGGGTCTTTCTCGAACTTCGCTTTTCTGCTTCTTGCTCACTTTGAAATTTGAATTCTACTTCTGCCCATCTACTCATTTTTTCTCGTAAGGCTCGCTGTTTTTCGCTTCTTCTTCTATCTAGTGTTTTCTACTTCCCCGTACCGTGTTCCCCCGGACATAACGTACCTTGCTAATGAACGTACAGCGTCGTACACAAGCTGACTCTCCAGTGAGATACAGTCAAAATGAGGGTACGTTGTATTCGGGGGAAGAGGGTAGTCGTGCTATGTCACTCCTTCGCCTGTGTTCTTTCGGGATCTTTGATGTACTGTCTTGTTATTATCGCCTTACCTTTTATATGCAGGAAATAGAATCCAAATGTCCAAAATGCCTCTCCTTTTCTTTAATGGGGGGGATCAGGTTAAAGTGCTTATGACGTACCGCTCCGCTCTGTTTTCTCTTCCCACCTCCCTTTTTTCAATTCGCACCTCCCCTAAATCTTGCCCCCATCAACTTTTCTCTCTGTTGCTTGCATTTTACTCTCCCTTTTCACACTTCTCGATAAGTTCGTCCATGTCTTATCGCTACCTCTTCTTTCATCTCCCTCTCTTTTGTTCTCTTCTATTTGTAGGAGCTCAGTATCCTCGATTCTTATTCTGGACATGAGTTGAAGTTTTTAATGGGGAATTCACTCCCTAGTACAGTTCTATGGTTATCCTCCTCTCTCCTGATCGCTTTCACAACTTCTTAATCCGGAAATCTCTCTCTCTCTCTCTCTCTCTCTCTCTCTCTCTCTCTCTCTCTCTCTATCTCTATCTGTGTGTGTGTGTGTAGCTGTAATCTTCTCAGCAGTTGCTTTCTAGAAGCATCTTTCTGCTCCGGAATCAGCAGGTAGTGCAAGATGATGGCTAAGTCAGCTCGCTTCAAGTTTGGTATAAGCTTGAAGCTCCTGTTCAAATTCTTGATGTTTGGATTTGTTGGAAGGGGTTTCTTCCTGTCGTCAATTCAAATTAGCTCTGCGTTTTCTCGATATCAGTTCTGTCCCTCTCGTCAATCCAAGTTGTTTCTTTGTGCGCATTTGTGATTTTTCGTCGTTGTTACTTGTTACGGCTTCAGTTTTGAAGATGTTATTCTCGTTGCTGTTACTGCTTCGGTTTTCAGGATGTTTTGAACACCAAAAAAAGCCCCATTGCCACTGTTTCATTGTGTTGCGTGTGTGTGTGTGTGTGTGTGTGTGTGTGTGTGTGTGTGTGTGTGTGTGTGTGTGTGTGTGTGTGTTTTCCCTTATTGTATGTACAGTGGTCCCAATCTCTCTCTCTCTCTCTCTCTCTCTCTCTCTCTCTCTCTCTCTCTCTCTCTCTCTCTCTCTCTCTCTCAGGGGGCTCATTCTCCCTGTTCTTCTGCGAGGTGATCGTAAAGTCGGGTCCTCGTGGAGATCCTCCTTGTGTAGGAGCCTATATCCACAGTGTATCGTAACTTCGCAAAAGCGTGCCTTATTAGAGCGGCGACAAAAATCATGTGGTTGTAGCTTCTAAGGAATCCGCTGATATTACGGGCTTTGACAAAGCGATCCTTATCTGGAGATGGTGGCGCACACCATATGGCAGAGAATGACACCCACGCCTAAGGGGTGGGCAGTGGGCACCGCTTGTGCTGTGCTTGTCCTTGGAAAGCAAAGAACCCGGTCGCAAACATGGCCAGGTTCTTGACTCCGTAGCATGATTTCAAATTAGCAGGAGTGTGGCCATGGCCTCGGTGGTCTCGGAGCTGCTCGGGTCACTTCCTGAGAACTTGATTGACGCCACCGATGGATGAGCTGTCCGAGAGAAATGACTTTTTTGTGTTTTTTTTTTTTTTTTTTTGGGAAAGAAGGATGACATTGGGCCTCGCCACAGTACTCCCGACTTGGAGAAAAAAAGGCCACTTTCAGGGCCTGGAGTGCGTCATGCCGACACCACCTCCCGACTCAGATGTCAGAATGCATTCGGGAGCAGTCAGAGATTTGCGTTCGAGAGCACTCCCGTCTGAGAAAGGCCATTTTCGGGGCAAGGTCCCATTTACACGAATTAAGAGATATTGACCGTAGATAGCAAAGATCAACGGCCAGAATCTCTTAAACCACCAGTACGTGGCCCAGCTATCGGCCACGGAAAAAAAATAGAGTAGAAACGTTTCTAGTTGGATGAATTTGGGCGCTCCTTCCTAAAATTGCGTAGCCTTAACGCTACGCGACTGTAGGAAGTACTGGTGGTTTATCTGTGCAAGTGGGACCTTGCCTGGGGAGACCTCTGGCGGAGGCCTGTGTTTCGCCTGGAGAACTCGTGCGCAGACAAGGGTTCTCCTCATAATTTTCGTCGCCACAAGCTGGACAGTGCTGGACAGTATCTCTCTGAAGTGAGCCTCCTGGCCTTGAAATAGGAGAGGGCCCCAAGTCGAGGCAGTGTGGCCAAGCACACTAGCTGAATGGATTTCCACGTCATTGTGTGAAAAGGCGCTGAGCCTGTTTTTTACCCGTTCAAGAATTCCGCGCCATCCTTGTGCCAGATTCACGAACCGGTAGGGCCCTTCTTTCTCAAAATGCCGTGCGTGGGCCTGCTGTACGTGGGCCTCATTAGGGCCCTTCTTTCTCAAAATGCCGTGCGTGGGCCTGCTGTACGTGGGGCTCTTTTACATCAAAATGAATTGGGTGCTGTTATGCACCAGATTCATGATCCGGAGGGCCCTTGGAGGGAACAGTGGGCCTGTAGTACCCCACATGGAAGTCATTGGGCCGGTAGTACGAAACGGTTGAGTTTTGGGCGCCCAAAACCGAAAAGGTTTTGGCATGGGCTCTTTTTACCAATTATCCCTATTGTTTTCCTTTTGGGGGGCTGGGAGGGGTGGGGTTACGTGTGATGTGCCTTGGCATTGTCGGACGTGCTTGGCATTGTCGACCGGCTGTAGGTGTTATTATCTGGAGCAGCGTTATTATCGGAAGGTGTGCTCCCACGAAGAAGAAACGTGTTAGGGTCTCGTTTGACACCACTTAAACTCAAGAGTTGACAGAAAATGATGTTTTCACTTTCCTGCTCTCAAGTGTCTTTGCTTGAAACTCTAGTGCTGTTGGGGCAAAATTGTACTTGAACTTAGGTACGTCCCGGAGGTACCTTGAAAGTGGATATCGCCACCACTCGAAGTGGGCCTTTTTTTTGGTTTTTCTTTTATTCCAAGAGGCGATCCTGGTCCAGGATTGGTCAAGGCGTGGAGTTCGGTTTCAAGTGCAGCCTGTTCAAGGGCTTCCTCAAGTGTACATGGATAGAGTAAGTGTAAATTAATCACAATTTCTAGTTTAGGGCGAAGTACTGTCAAGTGGTGTCGAACGAGGCTCTTACACACCTAGGGCCTCGTTCGGCACCACTTGAAAATACTTGAGTTTCAGGGGTGCCCTAACCACAAATTGTGATTAATTCACACTAACTTCACTTTTGTTTCCATGCACACTTCGAAACCCTTGAACAGGCTGCACTTGAAACCGGAACCCATGGCCTGACCAATCCTGAACCACGACCGCTTGCTGGGAAAAAAGAAAAACAAACAAAATCCCCACTCAAAGTGCTCGGCGCCGTGTCGGCGGTATCCGTTCAAGTGCAATTTTCCCCCAGCTGCACTTGAGTTTCAAGGATGTGCGCTTTAGTGCAGGAAAGTGAAAACATTACGGCGGTGCCGTTAGGGAGGGGTGGAATGTGATGCTCAACCTCACGTCCTGCGCTGCTTCCCGGTCGGAGCGTTTTGTTTTGCGGAAGGGCCCCGGGAGAACAGCGAAGAGGGGGTGTGCCAAGGATTTTTGGAAAAGTCCAGTGTGGAGACAGACAGAACTGAAATCCCCCCGTGTGGGTCCGATTTTAGTAAGAGGGAGGTCCGTCGCCGCGTGGGTTTAAGGGAGAAAAAAGGCACTTGCGGGACTTGTGGCTATGGGAAATTCAATCCAAAAAGTATCATTGAACTTCCCAGCAAGCCGTCACTCTTCGTCTCTCATGAAAGGGGGCGGGTACTCACGTGGTATCCTGTTTACAGATGAGGTCTCATCAACGCTCGTTGCACAACTTCGAATCCGTCGTGGAGGGCTTCAATCGAGTAACCCTCTCCTTATGCTCGTCCTCGCCACGTGTGCAGTAGTGGAAACCCTTGGCTCGGTAACACTCGAAGCGGTGACCGTTGCTGCACAGAGTGTTAGGCCAATGAGGCTCTACTGCCGTCCACGGGACGACGATCAACTCGTTAAATGGCAACAACAACGAATAGGGCGGAAAGTGCGTATCGACAATAACCAAACCCGTACCGACGAACACAGAACACCGAGTTTCAGGAGTAAAGTAGTAGCGCCCTTCGATCTTGGCGACGTCTTCTTGTATGGCCCACTCCCATACACGTATCCTTTTCTCGTTGTACGGGAAGGGGCGTGGCTGGGCCACGGGAAGTTGGTGCCTGGTCGGGTTAAGGCCGTCAGTCCACATGGCAACAAAAGCAAGCATAAAACATTTTTTTCTTAATCATACATCATTCGTTTGACACTCCAGGCAGCCACATCATCCAGTCGATCAGCCAATCATCCTCCCAATCATGCTATAACAAACTCTCTAATAGGACCCGTTGCATGCACATATCGAAGTGAGAGAAGCAAGTTACCATAATTCATCCATTATAACATAACATGACAAAAAGAGAGAGTGAGGGAGATCAGATCAGAGGGGAGGAACAAGTACAAATCAATCACAGAATGTTCGACGATCTTGTCCAGGGAAATCCCGGCTTAAAAGCCGAGTGATCAGAACTCACGCTCGAAGATACAGATTTTGGGGCAAAAGAGGCACTTTCGTCATAAAATTCCACCATGGCCCCAGGCCATGCACTCACTCACTTTCGATTCAAACTTCTCACAAGCAATGACAATCACAACTGTCACGTGCCAATCCACCATAGCGATCGTCACCCCGCCAACTTAGACTATGCACAATCTAGCCTGGATCCCACAGTTCATTGGGCGATCCAGCGCTGCGCCGCCAAGGCTACAGCCAGTTCGTCGGGACATTTCGACCTTCCCACATACCGCCTAGCCACTGCTTCCCGGAAGCTGGCTGATGAGTCGAGAGAGACTTGGAGATTTTTGGGAGCGCTTGCGGAATTTATAGTTGTGGAAAAGGAGATAGACGCTAGGAAAGGTTAGGACTAAGGTAGGGAGGGGTAGGGGAAGGTTCAGGGATACTCGCCTGATGAAAGCCATGTCGATCCTTTGGATCCCAGTCGTAGCCAATCAGAATCGTCGTGTATCAAGAATTTCCTTCTTACACAGCGCATATACTTGGCTAGAGGGAGTGAAGAGGGACTCGACAGAGTATTTCGGCCCGAGGATTAGAGGAATAGCGCGAAACGGAACCAAGATTCAAACGATTAAGAAAGAGAAAAGGTGCGCAAGGCGAAGGAGAGATGGAAAACGGTTACAGAGAGAGGAGTGTGAGCGCGAAGAAGAAGAGTGTCGAAGGTAGCGAGGGAAGCAGGGAGGGGAGGTTCGCATGCATGGCACCGACGCAGAGGCAAAAAGGACACCGAAACAGTTACAACTAATTCAAAATTGAAAAGTGCCATATCCGCGCGTAGAGCGAGCGCGGGAAAAAGTCCTATACCTATTCAAATTCCTATGAAAATTCCCAGAGTTTTCCAAGACGAAGTCCAGAACATTCATGCACAAGAAAGGACACGTCAGGTTTCGCTCATTCTGGAATTCCTAACCGTCGACCCAAATTCCTAGTGTGCTCGCTAAGGCGCGCGTAATTCCCATGTATTTTCAAAATTTGCAAAACTTAAGACGAAATTCCAAAAACCGATCCAAAAACGGTGAAGGTCCTGAGAAGGACGGGCCCCCTTGATTACGAACAACGCACATTACATTCATGGAAATACAAAAAGAGGCATCGTCGGCCCGTTTGCAAAAATACCAAAATTCGAAAAAGAGCGAGGGGGGGAGGGGGAAGATGGCGCAGGTCCTGAAGCTGGCGCGTCACAGGAACGGAGACTTTTCCTTCAACCCTTGAGTTGAAGTGGTGTCGAACAAGGCCCTTGGTCTATTCAATATTCGAAAGGAAACAGGAATGAGGCTGAAT